TGGTATCATAGGCATAAACCCTCTATACTGGTTTATTTGTCTTTATCCTTATATTACCTCTTTATTGCTGAGTAACAGATTATCCCCAAACTTATCAGTTAGGAAAAACAACAATTTATTACGATCATGGATTATTTGGGTCGGGAATTCTGAAATGGTTCAACTGGGCTGTTCCCATTTGGGGTTTCTTATGGGATTGCAATCAGATGCTGGCTGGGCCTGCAGCCATCTTAAGGCTCAGCTGAAGGATCCACTGCTCAGGTGGCTCAGTCATGTAGAGCTTCCGTTCCTTTCCGCATGGGCCTCTCCACAGGACTGAATGCGTGGCCTCACAACATGGCGGTTGATGAGTGATCCAAGAGGCCAAAGTGGAAGTTGCGATGCCTTTTCTTATTTAGTCTTGAGAAAGTGCATCTTGTTACTTTTACCATATTTTATTAGTCACACAGGCCAGTCTTGGTTCAACGTTGGAGGGGATTACAAAAGGACATCAGAACTATGCATATATACTCGGAGCTATGAACCATTGGGGGCCACATCTTGGAGGTTGGCTACTACAATTGCATTGTCTTAGTTATTGTAGATTTATGATACGTCTTGATATCTGGTAGGACTCACATCCCCACTTTATTTTCCCTCTGTAGGAGTGTCTTTGCTGTTTTTAACTCTGTGCTTTTGGATGTAAGTCTTAGGATTTGTGTGTTAACTTCAATGAAAAACCATTTTTGGGTTTTAATTGCAATTGCATTGAATCTATAGTTCAATTTTGGAGAGAGTTGAGAGTTTTAAAATACTGAGTCTAGGCCGGGCGCTGTGGCTCACACCTGTAATCCTAGCACTCTGGGAGGCCGAGGTGGGTGGATTGTTTGAGCTCAGGAGTTTGAGACCAGCCTGAGCAAGAGCGAGGCCCCGTCTCTACTAAAAATAGAAAGAAATTAATTGGACAACTAAAAATACATAGAAAAAAAATTAGCCGGGCATGGTGGCGCATGCCTGTAGTCCCAGCTACTCGGGAGGCTGAGGCAGAAGGATTGCTTGAGCCCAGGAGTTTGAGATTGCTGTGAGCTAGGCTGACGCCACGGCACTCTAGCCTGGGCAACACAGTGAGACTCTGTCTCAAAACAAAAAACCAAACAAACAAACAAACAAACAAAATACTGAGTCTTCCTAGAAAAGAAAGAGAAAAGGAAGAGAAAATAATGGAGAATACTTTCCATTCTATTTAGGCCTTCTTTCATGTCTTTTGATAAAATTTTATAATCTTCTTCATGAGGGATTTGCACATCTTTTTGTTAGATTTTTTAGATGTTACTAGCTTTATATGTTGGTTTGTTTTACATCGTCTAGCCTATGGTCAATAAATGGTATCCTTTTAAAATCGAAGTCTGATCTTCCTACAGTGAAATGCTAAATTCTTCAGTTTGCCATTCGATCAGTTCTACCAACTGCGTACGCTTGTGCAATCCACACCCTTATCAAAACACAGAACATTTCCATCACTTGTGGCCTCTCTGAGTCAATCTCTATCTTCCCTTCTGCCCCAGAAGCAACCACTGATGTGATTTCTATCGCCCTGGGTTAGTTTTGCTTCTTCTCAGATTTCACAACGTCACCTTTTTTTTTTGTTTTTAAAGGTAACGTTTTCTGAGCGATTGTTGCTGATGTACCGACACAGTAGACTTTGTATATTGGTTTTGTATTCAGCAGCACTGCCAGATAATTTTTATGGATTATTTGTATAGTCTTTAGGGCTTTCTAGGTCCATGATTGTTTCTTCTGCAAAAATGACCACTAGTATTTCTTTCTTTCCTTTTTTCCTCTGTCTTGTCTTGCATTGCTGGCTGAGATCTTCAATACAACATCGAGTAGAAATTGTGACAGCCAGCATCCTTGCCTTCATTCTGATTTAAAAGGAAGTCTTTCAACATGTCGTTATTAAGTAACATGTTTTGCGAAGGTTTTTTTATCAGCTCCCAGAATTTCCCTTCCATCCTTACTTAGCCAAGAGTTATTTTTTTCTCCTCTTTCTTTTTTCTTTTTTTAATCACAAATGAATGTTGAATTGCTACTCTGTCATTTATGTGTCTCTGTTGCAAATTTCTCTCTCTCTTTTTTTTTTTTTTAAAGCAATTCTCCTCCATCCTTGCATGCAAATTTCTCTTTTTGACAGAGAGAACAGACCTCGGGTCAAAGCCTTGGGCAAGCCACAGGATCTAGCTATAACTGAATCACGTTGTTTGAATCCTATTTATTTTATAGTTGCTTCTGTTTGTGGCAAATGGTCTTAGTTTTCTTTTTATAGTGGGAAGCGTCGTTCTCTTCTTAAATACGTTTATTTAAGTTAACGTTAATTTAAACGTCACGTTCCGTATGTAATGGGTCAGGTAGACGGTGGATGTGGCAGTGATTGAGAAGAAGATACAATGTAAAGATGGAAGAGAAACACAAATACAGCAAACACCCGGTGCTGCATCATTTCGTACAGGCAGTTGTGGCGCGGTGATTCAATTCAGGCTTCAAAGTCATGCTGCTGTGAGCCTGCGTCCTGGCTGTGTGTCCCTGCCACAGTTTCCTTATCTGTGAAATGAGGGTGATAATGGTACTTACCTTGCAGGGTGGTTGTAAAGATTCCACGTTATCTCTGTATTGTGCTGGGAATTGAGCCCACGGCAGGCGGGGGTGCTCGTGTTAGCTACGTGCAGGGGAAGGAGCGGTGGTCCAGAGAGTGGGCTCAAGATCCACATCATTGTGGAGCTCGGTTGTAGCTCCTCTACTGACTTATTCTTGCTATTAATACTCTTGGGCAGCTTTCCCTCCCAGTCGGAGCCTGCTTTCTCGTAGGCAAAATGGACATAAATACAGTATAGTCTTGAGCATGGAATTCATCTGGGCCCAACCACGTGTAGTAGGCGTTCAAGAAATGCAAAGACCAGCCTGAGCAAGACTGAGACCCTGTCTCTACTAAAAATAGAAAGAAATTAGCTGGACAGCTAAAAATATATAGAAAAAATTAGCCAGGCATGGTGGCTCATGCCTGTGGTCCCAGCTACTTGAGAGGCTGAGGCAGGAGGATCACTTGAGCCCAGGAGTTTGAGGTTGCTATGAGTTAGGCTGACGCCACGGCACTCTACCCAGGGCAACAGAGCAAGACTCTGCCTCAAAAAAAAAAAAAAGAAAGAAATGCTGTTAGAATGCAGATTCCCAGGAGCCCCTGTGATCCATTCATTTGACAAATACATGTGGAGAGGTTGCTATGAGTTAGGCTGATGCCACGGCACTCTAGCCAGGGCAACAGAGCAAGACTCTGTCTCAAAAAAAAAAAAAAGAAAGAAATGCTGTTAGAATGCAGATTCCCAGGAGCCCCTGTGATCCATTCATTTGACAAATACATGTGGAGAGTCTTCTATAAGCCGGGCACAGTTGTAGATGCCAGGTATCCACCAAAGAACCAGATGATGGCCGTGCCCTCCTCAAACTGACATTTTATGTGGGGGAGAAGGACGGTAAACAGAACAAATGAAGCACAGTAGTGGGGGTACAAAATACCAGAGTAGGGGGTGTGATTTTAAGTAGGGTGGTCAGAGGAGGTCTCACTGAGGTGAACCGTGAGCAGAGACAAAGAAGGTAGCAGGGAGCTTTGTGTACAACAGGGTGTGTTCACCTGCCTGGGCTGCCATAACAAAGTACTACATCTCATAATAAATGCCCCTGTCCCCTCCCTGCCCTCCCCTCCTCCCACCCTCCACCTCATTCACTCTATTCTAGCCACACCAGCCCCCTTGCTGTTCCTCCAATGCACCAAACATGATCCTGCCCCAGGGCCTTTGCACAAGCTGTTCCCTCTTCTTGGAATACATTTTCTCTTGTGTTAGGGATTGAATTGTGTGCCTCCAAAATTTAAATGCTGTAGTCCTAACCTCCAGTGCCTCCTATTGTGGCTGTATTTGGAGATAGGGTCGTTACAGAGGTAATTAAGCTAAAATGAGGTCATTAGGGTGGGCCTTAACCCAACATGACTGGTGCCCTTAAAAGAAGAGGACATGAGAACACAGACAGGCACAGAAAGAAGGAAGACCACGTTAGGACTCAGGGAGAACGTGGCCCATCTGCTGACCAAGGAGAGAGACCCCAGAAGAAATAAACCCTGGCAACACCCTGACCTTGGACTTCTTGTCTCCAAAACTCTTCCAGACATTTCTTTCCTATGAATGGAATCATACAGCATGTGGTCTTTTGGCTCCTGAAATCTAAAACTTCAGGGATATTTCATACACGCGAAATTATACGCTATGTGGCCTTTCGTGTCTAGCTTTTTTTTTTTTTATCTTAGCAGAATGTTTTTCAGGATCATCCACATTGTAGCATGTGTTGGTGTTTCTTTTTTGTTGTTGTTTTGAGACAGAGTCTTGCTCTGTTGCCCGGGCTAGAGTGCCGTGGCGTCAGCCTGGCTCACAGCAACCTCAAACTCCTGGGCTCAAGCAATCCTTCTGCCTCAGCCTCCCGAGTAGCTGGGACTACAGGCATGCGCCACCATGCCCGGCTAATTTTTTTTTAGTTGTCCAGATCATTTCTTTCTATTTTTTTAGTAGAGACGGGGGTCTCGCTCTTGCTCAGGCTGGTCTTGAACTCCTGACCTTGAGCGATTCACCTGCCTCGGTCTCCCAGAGTGCTAGGATTACAGGCGTGAGCCACCGCGCCTGACCCACGTGTTGGTGTTTCATTCCTTGTTATGGCAGAATAACGTTCCATGGTGTGGATAGAGCACATTTATTTGTCTCTCAGTGATTCATTTTATGTTTGGTGAATTTGACCTCAATAAAACAAATTCATGGGGTAGATGTGGGCTTCAGGTACGGCTTGATCTTTATCAGAAGAGAGTGCAGTTTCGTGGATGGGGGATCTGTGCTTTCATTTTCCCCTCCACGCAAGCTGTCTAGGGCTCAGTTTATCTTCTGCCCTTTCCTTCCCTCCCTCACCCTCATTTCTCTCTTCCCCCACAGTTCCTGTGCCTCAAGAACATTCGAACCTTCCTGTCTACCTGCTGTGAGAAGTTTGGCCTCAAGCGGAGCGAGCTCTTTGAGGCTTTCGACCTCTTCGATGTGCAGGATTTCGGGAAGGTGAGCCAGGCACCTAGAGCCCAAAGATTGGATTTTGATTCATTTGCATTAATGTCTACACTGGACAAGCCTAGGGCTGTCAGGAGATGGGCAGATGAGCCAGAACAAACCATCACACAGGGTGTAAATGGCACTGGCTTGGAACCCATGGGACTGGGTTTGAGTCTCTGTTCCACCCATCGCTGTGTGACCTTGGATATGTGGCTGTGCCTCTCTGAGCCCTGGGTTCATCGTCTGTAACATGGGAATGCTATCATTCCGTCCTCTCTGAATGGCGGATGAGGGAGGATCAAATGGAGAACAGGAGCTCGGTTAAGGGGACGTGGCATGGGGGACGGGCAGGTACAGCAAATCCTGAGTTAGGATCCCAAGAGGCATGGGGTCTAGCCTCAAGGTCTGGCTTCAGACCCTTGGAGTCGAGGCTGAGTTCTGCCATGGGGGTGGGTAAGGGGCTCACTGAGCAGCCGTGGCCCTTGTCACAGGTCATCTACACCCTGTCCGCTCTGTCCTGGACACCGATTGCCCAAAACAAGGGGATCATGTGAGTAACCATCTGGGCTTTGGGACGCTCAGCCCCAATCCTCCGCCTCCTTGAAGCCCTCCTCCCACCCAGTCCCCAGGCCCCTGCCTCACACCCTGCTGGCACCCCTCCGCCAGGCCCTTCCCCACTGACGAGGACAATGTGGGTGACGAGGACGTCTACAGCGGCCTGTCCGACCAGATCGAGTGAGTGTCGGGGGACCTGCGGGACTCACTGGAGCACGGTCTCGGGGGGCGCGGTATGGGGGGGACATGGCCCTTCCCTGGTGTGTGAGGGGACGCAGCCTTGATCCGGGAGAGGTCTGGGCGATCTGGTGGCCCTGCCTGACACCACGTCCTGCAGCGACACGGTGGAGGACGATGAGGACCTGTACGACTGCGTGGAGAATGAGGAGACCGAAGGCGACGAGATCTACGAGGACCTCATGCGCTCGGAGCCGGTGCCCATGCCGGTGTGTGGGGCGCAGGGGCCGGGCCCGGGCAGGCGGGTGGGCGCAGGGGCAGAGGGGGGCCCAGCCCCGGGCAGCCCCCCATCCAACCCCAGCCTGTCCTTCCCGCTGGCAGCCCAAGATGACAGAGTACGACAAGCGGTGCTGCTGCCTGCGGGAGATCCAGCAGACGGAGGAGAAGTACACGGACACGCTGGGCTCCATCCAGCAGGTGCGAGCCTGCCCCGCCCCGCACGGCGCATGCGCGGGCGCCGGGCCGGCAGGTGCGCGTCCACCTGTCTGGCCGCCTCCGGGGCCCGCCGAGGCTTTTCCTTGTCCCCGTCGTTTTGTGTTTCTCTGACTTCCTCCTGTCTGTCTGTCTGTCTGCCTCTGCTATTGCCTCTCTTACGTTCTTCCTGTTGCATCTCATTCCTTCGTCTATTTCTTTTAAAAACAGCCTTATGCAGATTTCATTAACGTGCCATACAACCCGCCCATTTAAAGTTACGGTCAGTGGGTTCTGGCATATTCAAGGGTTTGTGCAACCATCACCGCTGTCTAATTTGAGAACACTTTCAATATCCCTCAAAGAACCCCCACACTCCTTAACTGTCGCCCCTCAATCTCTCATCCTCCCCCAGCCCCTGGCGCCCACAAATCCACTGTCTGTCTCTGTGGATCTGCCTGTTCTGGACATTTCATATAAATGGGGTCGCACAGGGTCGATGGCCTTCTGTGTTTGGCTTCTGTCACTGAGCACGATGTCCTCAAGGTCCATCCACGTTGTGGCCCGTGTCAGAGCCCCGTCCCTTTTCATGGCCATGTAATATTCCATGGTACGGATGAACCACATTTTATTTATCCGTTCACCCATTGATGGACATTTGGGTTGTTTCCACTTTTGGGCTATTATAAATAATTAGGCTATGAACATTCTCTACCAGTTTTTTTAAAAAAGAGATGGGGTCTTGCTCTGTCACCCAGGCTGGAGTGTGCCCAAAGCTCTCTGCAGCCTCGACCCCCCTCAGCCTCCTGAGTAGCTGGGACTACAGGTGCATGCCACTGTGCCTGGCTAATTTTTAAATTTTTTTTTTTTTTTTTGTAGAGACAGGGTCTTTCTATGTTGCCCAGGTTGGTCTTGAACTCCTGGGCTCAAGCGACCTTCCTGCCTTGGCCTCCCAAAGTGCTGGGATTACAGGCGTGAGCCACTGCACCTGGCCTCTTATACAAGTTTTTATGTGGGCCTTCTACATCTCTTTCCATCTCTCTGTCTCTTTCTCTGTCTCTGTTTTCTTGTCTTCCTTGTCTCTGTCTTTCTCTCTCTCTCCATCTCTCTGTTTTTGTTTGTCTCTTTCTGTCTCTATCTCCTTGTCCCTGTCTCTCTGGGACCGGGCTGGAGAGAGGGGGCCCTCATGTTCCTTCCTCCTCTCTCTGGTCTCACAGCACTTTCTGAAGCCCCTTCAACGGTTCCTCAAACCCCAAGACATTGAGATTATCTTTATCAACATTGAGGTGAGCCAGCCTTTGTGCAGAGGGGATAATTTGCTGGCCCCTCCTGTCCCTGGGGTGTGGGAATTGGGAGTTGAGCAGCATGGGGTGGGTGGAGGACCCTCCCCAGCACGCTCCCAGAGCCCCAGGCTCTGGCCCCAGCCCCTGCCCTTCCCTGCGAGTAGGACCTGCTTCGTGTACATACGCACTTCCTGAAGGAGATGAAGGAGGCCCTGGCCACCCCTGGCGCATCCACCCTCTACCAAGTCTTCATCAAATACAAGGAGAGGTGAGCGCTGGGGGGTCACTGCCCTGCCTGGGCTGGTCATTTAGGAGACCTTACCCTCAGAGACCACTGGACAGGGAGGACTTTTGGCTGTGTGCTCATGGCTGAGGGGGCTGCCCATCTCTGATTCAATTCCCATCTCTGCTGTGTGGCACTGGGTAGCCATGTAACATCTCTGTGCTTTAGTGTGGTACAGGAATGTACCTCCTAGGGTTATGAGGGCTGAATCAGTTGATGCATAAAGTGCTTAGCGCAGGGCCTGGCACACAGTAGGTGTTCAATAAGTGTTTGTTAAATAAATGAACATTGGGAAGAGGTGGTATGATATTGTGGCAAGAACTTATGTGTTATCTCATTTAATGGTACGATAACCTTTTGTGGGAGGTGCTATTGTTATGCCCATTTCACAGATGGGGAGAGTGAGACTCAGGGTCGTCTAGATGGGAAGATCGAGGCCAAAACCCAGATCTGCCTGACTGCAGTGCCGGTCACACTTACCTGGTGGCCTGTCCTCTTCCTGTAGGTTCCTCATCTACGGCCGCTACTGCAGCCAGGTGGAGTCGGCCAGCAAGCACCTGGACCACGTTGCTGCAGCCCGGGAGGACGTGCAGATGAAGCTGGAGGTGGGAGCCGGGCCGCCTCTGGGCGGGGGGTCTCCTCCTCCTTCCCAGGCCGTACAGGCAGCAGGGAGGTGACCGGGTTGCAGATGGCTGCACTTTCTGCTGCAGCCCAGCCAGGAATCCGCCGAAGGACTGGGGAGGGAGGTACTGGCCAGCCGAGTGGAGGAAATGGAACAGAACAGAACTGGGCTGGCCCCAAGTCTGGGCTGACATCCTGACCCCAAACAGAGCTCTGACGCCCAGACTGAACCCCGGCCCCAGGCTGAGTACTGGCACTGATTGTGCGCCAAGCTGGGCTGAACTCCAACTTCGTACTGAGCCCGGATCCCACCACCAACCCCTGATCCCAGGCTGAACACTCATCCTGAACTCAGCCCCAACCTTGGATCCGTGTGTCCAGTGGAAGCACAGACAGGGCATGGACGAGGAGGATGAGGAGCCTCCAGATCTGTCCCTCTCCCTGTCTTTCCAGCCACACTCGGCTGGCAGAGTGCAGGGCCTCCGCCCCAGGAGGCATTTGCCAGCCTCCCAGTAGTTTTTAAATTGCCCCTCACCTCATGGCGTCCTTTTTTCCTTATCTTTTGGGAGCTCTAGAAAAATCCACACAGCTCTCGGGATGGAGAGCCGCCCATATATTTATTCAGATCTGCCCTGCTACCAGCTCATCCTGGGCACCTGCTTTCCACCTGGTCTTGATACCTGTGTTCTCTGACCCCCCCAGGAATGTTCTCAGCGAGCGAACAACGGGAGGTTCACCTTGCGGGATCTGCTAATGGTACCCATGCAGCGGGTACTCAAGTACCACCTCCTTCTCCAGGTGCTGGGCACGCCCCCGGGCATGGGCTTGGGCTGTCCGCTCTCGGGTGTCTGTAAGGGTGGGGGCGGGGCTGGCTGGCTGCTGGGGGCTCTGGGAGGGGTCATTTGGGTCATGTCCCAGCTTCCGGAGATAGCAGGGTGAGGGTTAGGGTTAGGGGAAGCTAGCATTGTTTGGAAGGACTCCCCTCCCAGAGAAGAGGGCAGGCCCAGGTGACGTCTGACTCCTCTGGGTCACGCAGGAGCTGGTGAAACACACGCAGGACGCGATGGAGAAGGAGAACCTGCGATTGTCCCTGGATGCCATGAGGGTGAGTACGGTGTGGGTGACAGTCACGCACGTGCTGCAGACACCCTCTCTAAGCCTCCTGGTGGGGGCTGACCTTCTATCCCAGGTCCAGGTAGGAGGCTGGGCCAGGTGTTGGGGTGGGGCCAGGCTCACCTTTGTCCCACCCCCAGGACCTGGCACAGTGTGTGAACGAGGTCAAGAGAGACAACGAGACGTTGCGGCAGATCACCAACTTCCAGCTGTCCATTGAGAACCTGGTGAGGTGGCGCGGCTGGCTGGGCCAGGGGTGTGGCCACGTGGGGAGGGAGTGTCTGGTCCCCTTCTTGGCGACCCCTTGCCAGACCCCCTGCATGCTGTGTAGGACCAGTCCCTGGCTCACTACGGCCGGCCCAAGATCGACGGGGAGCTCAAGATCACCTCGGTGGAACGGCGCTCCAAGATGGACAGGTGGGTAGAGCCAACATGGGTCCGGGGGTGGAGCCTGGGCAGGGGTGAGGCCAGGCTACTAGATGGACAGTGGGTGGGGCCAACACAGATCTGGGGTGGAGGCTGGGTGGGGCGTGGCCAGACTCCTAGATGAATAGGTGGGTGGGGCCAAGACAAGCCTGGGTTGGAGCCTGGGCAGGGGCGGGGCTAGGCTCCTAGATAGGCAGGTGGGTGGAGCCAACACATCTTGGGTGAAATATGGGTAGGGCCTGGCCTGGTTCCTAGATAGACTTGTGGGCGGAGTCAACATGGATTTGGGGAAGACCCTTGGTGTGAGTAGGGCCAGATTTTTAGGTAGGTAGGTGGGCCCATCCAAACAAGGGGTTGGAGCCTTGCTGGACAGGCCGGGCAGGGCCAGTGTGGATGTGTAGGGTGGAGCCAAGACCGACAGGAGGTGGGGCCAGCACGGATCCACGTGGGTGATGTCACGACCGACAGGTGGGCGCGGCCAAGTGGGCCAAGGAGGAGAAGGGTAAGGTGGGGCCAGGAAGGTGGAGGGAACGGGACAGAGAGGTGATGGGGACAGTTGGGAGGAGACAGACAGGGGCACCTTACCCATCCGCTCCCAGGTACGCCTTCCTGCTCGACAAAGCTCTGCTCATCTGTAAGCGCCGAGGGGACTCCTACGACCTCAAGGACTTTGTGAACCTGCACAGTTTCCAGGTTCGGGATGACTCCTCCGGAGACAAAGACAACAAGAAGGTGGGGGTATGACGCTAGGACTGGGGGTGGGGGCGAGCAGGGGCAGCTTGGGGCTTTCCACTTGGATGCTTGTGTGTGTTTGCGAGAGTACATGGACGTGTGTGTTAATTAAGCCACTCGCAGTTTTTTAATTGAGCAGCTACTTTATCCTGGGCACTTTTCTAGGCACTAGGAGAAAAATGGAAAACAAAACAGACATGGTCCTGTCTTGTGTGGTACATACATTCTTATGGGATGTGTTCTACCAAGAACATAAAACAGGGAGTGTGACCCTGATGGGTGAGGGTGGGAGGGTGGGGGCTATCTTACCTCCACTGGCCAGGAACGTTCTCTGTGAGCTGAGGCCTCTCTCCCTCTTGGCATTCCCCACTTCGTTCTACTCCTTCTCCTTCTCACTCTTTTCCTGTCCCTGTAGTTCTCCTCCTGGAGGTTCCCCCCTGTGTCCTGGTCTGCTGTTTCCCTGTTTCTCAGCCCCTCAGTCCCCCACATGGAGATGCTAATTGCTTTCTTGTAATTGCCTGTTTATGGGTGTGTCTCCCCTGCCAGGCTGCAGCCCTGGGGACAGTGTTCGCTGCTCTGTTCCCAGCTCCTAGCCAGGTGTCTGTCTCTCAGCAGGTGCTCAACAAATGCTTGTTGAGTAGACAAATGGATGAATGACACGTTGTGTCTGTTGTGTGTTCTGCAAAGGTGTGTGTGTGTGTATGGTTTTGGGGTTTGTGAATGTGTATTTGGATATCCTAGGCCGCCACTTACAAGGATACCCTCGCGTGGTGCTAGAGGCAGAGAGACTGTTATGGGCCGGACCCTGGGCTCCCTGCAGGGGGAGGGGTCGGTGGGTGTGTGTTCCCACCCTCTGCAGAGGGCACGGCCCTCGGTCTGAGCTCTGCTTCCCTGCAGTGGAGCCACATGTTTCTCCTGATCGAGGACCAGGGTGCCCAGGGCTATGAGCTGTTCTTCAAGACGCGAGAACTGAAGAAGAAGTGGATGGAGCAGTTTGAGATGGCCATGTGAGTCCTCCTTCCTTCCCTCTTTCTATCCTCAGAGGGCGCTATCTCGTGGGGATAGGGGCTAGGAGGCAGGGCAGTGCTCTAGTCTCCCTAGAGCATGTCTGCCCTGACGTGCAGTGGGACCACTCTGAACCTCAGTTTCCTCATCTGAGAAATGGGAGGGTCAGACTCAAGGCTGTCTGCAACTGTGGAATCCTGAGGTTTTGTGCAAACATCAGCCACCAGCCTGGAATTTTCTCTTCCTCCTCCTCCTTTTCCTCCTCCTCTTCCTCCTCCTCCTCCTCCCTCCTTCTCCTTCCTCCTCCTCCTCCATCTCCATCTTTGTATATTGAGGTGAAATTCACATAACAAAAAATCAACCATATCAAAGCGTACAGTTTTGTGGCATTTTGTACATTTACATAATTGGGCAACCACAACCATCTAGTTCCAAAACCTTTTCGTCACCCCCAAAGGAAACTTTACACCCCTTAAATAGTCACTCCCAATTTCTCCCTGTCCCAGCCCCTGGACACTATTACTAATCTTTCTCTTTTGGTCAGTGCTCAGAGCAGCGTTAATCACAATAGCCACAGGGTGGAAACAACCCAAATGCTGATCCGTGGATGAATGGACCAACAAAATGTGCTCTATCAGCCCATGGAATAGTATTCAGCTACAAAAAGGAATGAAATATTGGCCCTCTCTTCTCTCATTTCCCCTCACCAGCTCCAACATCTACCCTGAGAACGCTGCCGCCAACGGGCATGACTTCCAGATGTTCTCCTTCGAGGAGACCACGTCCTGCAAGGCTTGCCAGATGCTGCTGAGGTGGGCGGTGGGGAAGACGGGCCTGGGTCCTGGGCATGGTCAGCTCTTCCTCTCCAGAGAAGCTCCCCCAGTAATTGGTCCCCCAGATTGGGTGATGGGGAGCCCTACTTCGATTTTCTCCATTGCTCTCTGGCTCTAAAGAGAACCCAAGGAGGCAGCATGGCTGCCCTTGTCTATAAAGATGACTTTTCTTTCTCTCTCCCTTGCATCCCAGAGGCACCTTCTACCAGGGCTACCGCTGTCACCGGTGCCGGGCACCTGCACACAAGGAGTGTCTGGGGAGGGTCCCTCCGTGTGGCCGACACGGACAAGGTACCACAGGGAGGGAGGGAGGGCGGGAGGTTGGCTCGGTTCTCCATGGAGGATTTCCCATCCTAACTATTCCCTTTTCTCTCCCATAGATTTCTCAGGAACCATGAAGAAGGTAAGACCCCCACCCCACCCCCACGCACATTTCCGTGCATGGTGAATCTGGAAGGCCAGGTGGGGAGGACCCAGGAGACCCCAGCAGTGGGCGTGGTCCTTTGTTGGATGAGGACAATAATGGAGCATAGGTAGCCACAATGCTTTCTTGGTCTCTCCCTCCAGGACAAACCACACCGCAGGGCTCAGGACAAAAAGAGGAATGACCTGGGTGAGTCAGCAGGGGGCACTGTGTGTGGCGGGAAGAGAACAGATCTCCTCCAGGGACAGACCCCCATCATCATATTAACGCCCACATAATGTCCCGCTTATAACGCTGTGATCCATGTGTCCCAGTACCAGAAACCCGAAAGCAGTTTAAACATAACTAACTCTAATTCATTACTTGCTTTGCTCAAACACTGTGAAGGGAATGCATGGGGCGTAGCAATACTGGTTAAGATCCTCTTTGGCGTCCATCCAATTTTATCTTCACGATCTCTCCCCACACCCCTTCTGTGGTCTTAGCTGTCTAGGCACATGGCTGGTGAGATACAGGGATGCGGCTGCCTGCAGCAGTAGCTCATCCTTTTTCATTGCCGTGTAGTATTCCATCATGTGATTGTATCACCGTTTGTTATCGATAATTAAACCTGTTGAGGACATTTGGTTTGTTGCGAGTTTTGGTTATTGCGAATAAAACTGTCATGGACATTTTTGCCCATGACTTTTGGAGGACATGTTCTCATTTTTCTTAGGTTGCTGGGTTGTGGGGTAGGCATATGTTTAGATTCGGTAGATACTGCCCATTAGGTTTCCAAAGTGGATCCCCCACCAGCAATGTGTTAGAGTAGCGGGTTGCTCTGCATCCTTGCCGACACTTGTTTGATAACGCCAGTCTTTTAAATTTTGGCCATTCTGGGGGTGGCAAGGCTCAGGTTTGAAAGTCCTTGACTACTGACCACCTTGTACCACCACCCTCCCTGTCCTCCAGGTCTACCCAAGATGGAGGTGTTTCAGGAATACTATGGGCTTCCTCCACCCCCTGGTGCCTTTGGGCCTTTTCTTCGGCTCAACCCTGGAGACATCGTGGAGCTCACCAAGGCAGAGGCTGAGCAGAACTGGTGGGAGGTACACACTGGGGCCATGCTACTGCTGGGCAGGACTCCAGTGTGGGGTTAGGGGTTCAGGTGACCTCAAGGAGTGGGGTCACAGTCCCATTGGGCTCTGGAGGTGGTGCCTGGGGAATGATGCTATAGACAGGGATTTTGGGGGTTGACTTGGTGGCTCTTCTGAGCTGGCCATCTTCCTGGGAAGTTGACACTGGTTGGTACCTCCCTGGGTCCTCCAGACCACCCAGAGGTAGATGGATAAGCAGAGTGGCCACCGAACAAAGAGATGGACACACACACACACGTACACGTGCACACTTGGATAACCTCTCTGTCCCTGTTTTTGTCTCTTGGGTTTTTAGGGCAGGAATACGGCTACCAATGAAGTTGGCTGGTTTCCCTGTAACAGGGTGAAGCCCTACGTCCATGTGAGTGCCATAAGTCTGGGTGGAGAGAGGGCAAGGGGTCCAGAGATGATGCCAGGAGGGCAGGCAGACTTAGGAGCACACCCCTGGAGCTGGGGAGGGACATCCATCATGGCGGGTCGATCCCCAACTCATGGCTTTACCTGTCCCACCAGCTGAACCCAGAGTGGGGCCATGCTAGGAATGTTCCCCCTTGATTCTTTGGGTCTGAAGGTCCTCCTTCCTACGTGGGTGCGGTAGGGGAAGATGTAGGGGTCCAGAAGGTGGGCTGGTCCCTGGCTTCCTTCAGAGACACTGAATTGAGTCCTGTTAAGGCATCATGACACCTCTACCTCCTTGTCTGCCTCCCGGTGGACACGCCTGTCCACCCTGGCCTCAACTGTCCTTCACTTGTTCTCTGCTCAGCTGGTCCCTCACTCTTTTCCATGACTTCAGATCTCCCCGCTCTCCCCAAACCTCAGGTGCCCCCTCCTTCCTCATTCACAGCAAAGGATCCCACTGTCCAGCCTCACAGCCCAGATGGAACCTACAGAGAGGAACCCTCTCCTGTGTTTGTCGTGACATCAACTTTACATCCTTTCAGACTCCTAGCAAAGAGCTCCCGTAGAGCCTCGACCTGGATTCACCAGTTGTTAACATTTTCTTCCATTTGCTCTCTTTACACACACAGATTTATTTTTCCCCGAAACAGTTAGAAGTGAGTTTGCAGACATCATTCCCCTTTACCCCTAAGTACTTCCTAAGAATGAGAACCTTCTTGTATGTAACCTGATTTAAAAAAAAACATAAAATTCAACATTGTCATTATACTATTATTTAATTCATAGTCTACATTTAAATTTTGCCAGTTTCCCCAAAAATGTCACTTAGAGATTTTTTTTTTTTGGTTCTATGTGTTCTCCACTGTCAATTTACATTATGAGTTTCCAACGCCATCACTCCTTCCAAATTTATTAGCTGGTATTCTGTTGTGAGGAAGAGCTGTCCCTCATACCCTATCTGTCTGTCTATCCATCCATCCATCCATCCATCTGTCCATCCATCCATCTGTCATCTATTTATCCATCCATCATCCACCTGTCCATCCATCCATTCATCTATCCATCCATCCATCTATCCTTCCTTTCATCCATCCATCATCCATCCATGATCTATCCATCTATCAATCATCTATTCATCATGTATCATCTATTTATCAATTATCTATTGTCTATTGATTTACCTATCACCTAGCTATCTATTTATCCATCATCTGTTTATCCTGTCTACCTATCTATCCATCTGTCTTCTATCAGGAACAGCTCACGGATTCTTATTTTAAAATTGTCCCAGATTTGGCCAGAAGGAGCCCCTTCAGCCTGGTTTCTCTGTCCTTTTAATATGTCCCCATCATTCTTTGAGTATTTCCTCATTTTCTGACATGATGCCAGATTTGTCTCATACTTTCCCTGCCCCAGTCTTGGAATCAACCATTTTTCTCCAAGGAGCTCTGGACCTTTCTGTGGGGCATGGTGTTCAGAAACCAAGATCTGGGCATCTTTTCAATGTCTGCCTCTAAATGTAGCTGCCTCCTTAAAGTAGCTCCTCCTCTCGCATTACAGTGAAGGCTCTGAGAAAAGATACCAAAAATGACAGTTCTCCACTCCATTTGAGGTCCCATTCTTCCAGTACCACCCACCTCACAAGATAAAGACTATTATTCTTTTTTTATATGGCCATTTGGCGTTTGTTAACGCAAATGTAAATAGATACAAATATGGATTCTCAGTTCTCCCACGGTTTATTCAAAAGGTTCGATACTATTCTGCAGCCTGTTTTTTTTCCCCACTTAATATATCTTTAGATCTTGCCATATCACTGTTTGTCGAACATCTCATTTTTTTTCTTTTTAAAAAAATTGAGGTGAAATTTGCAAAAGATGAAACTATCCGTTTCAAGTGAAAAACTCGGAAGTATTTAGTGCATTTGCATTTAGCATTGTCCATTTATATGAAATATCTAGAATAGGTAAATCTATAGAGACAGAAAGCAAATTGGTGGTTGTCAGCGCTAGGTGGGAGGAGTAGGACCAGGTATTGACTGTTTAATGGGTAATCGGTATGGGATTTTCTTTTGGGGTAATAAAAATATTTTGGAACTAGATATTCTCTTTCTGGTACGAACATCGCCACCATCCATCTCCAGAATTCTTTTCATCTTGCAAAACTGAAATTCTGCGCCCCTTAAACAACAACTCCCCATTTCCCCCTCCCCAGGCCCTGGCATCCACCATTCTGCTTTCTCCTGTCTTTTTGAATCTGACTATCCTAGAGACCCCGTATAAGTGGAATACTGCAGTGTTTATTCTTTTGTATCTGGCTTTTTTCACTGACTGTAATGTGTTCAAGGTTCATCCATGTTGTGGCCTGTATCAGAACATCCTTCCTTTCTTTTTTCATTTTATTTATTCATTTATTTTTAATTCAGAATATGATGGGGATACAGATGTTTTGGTTACATAAATTGCTTTTCCTTTTTTTTTTTTTTTTTTGAGACAGAGTCTGGCTCTGTTGCCTGGGCTAGAGTGCCATGGCGTCAGCCTAGCTCACAGCAACCTCAAACTCCTGGGCTCAAGCGATCCTCCTGCCTCAGCCTCCCGAGTAGCTAGGACTACAGGCATGTGCCACCATGCTCGGCTAATTTTTTCTATATATATATTTTTAGTTGTCCAGATAATTTCTTTCTATTTTTTAGTAGAGATGGGGTCTCGCTCTTGCTCAGGCTGGTCTCGAACTCCTGACCTTGAACGATCCACCCGCTTTGGCCTCCCAGAGTGCTAGGATTACAGGCGTGAGCCACTGTGCCCAGCCTGCTTTTCCTTTTTAAGGCTGAAAAATACTTCATTGTATGCATAGACCACATTTTAAAAGATCTATTCTTCCATCAATAAACACTTGGGTTGCTTCAACTTTTGCCTCTTATGGAAAATGCTGCTACGAGCATGAGTGTACAAATAAATATCTCTTCCAGACCCTGCTTTCAATTCCTTTGGGTGTGTACCCAAAGGGGGATTGCTGGATCATGCAGTAATTCTAATATTTAATTTTTTTGAATATTTAATTTTTTGAATATTATATTTAATCTCATACTGTTTTCCACAGTGGCTGCACCATTTTACATTCCCACCAACAGTGCACAAGGGTTCCAATTTTTCCACATCCCCTCCCCTAGTTATTTTCTGAGGTTTTTTGTTTGTTTGTTTTGTTTTCCTGATAGTAACCATCCTAAAGCGTGTGAAGTTGTGGAAGTGAGCGCTTTCACATGTATTTAGATCAGCGGTTGGCAAACGTTTTCTGCAAACAGCCAAATAGCAAATACGTTCAACATTGCGAACCACAAATTTCACAACTCATCAACTCTGCCACTGTTGTGCAAAAGTAGCCATAGATGATCTGCAAAGGAGTGGGCACACCTGTGTTCCTATAGCATGTAATTCATGGACACCGACATGTGAATTTCATGTAATCTTCCCATGCCAGGAAATGCTCTTTTGATTTTTGCCAACCACTTAGAAATGTAAAAACCATTCTTAGCTTGAGGACCGTGCTAAAACACGGGGGAGGACAACGCCTGATTTATTATATATGATACTGGGATAGCCTCTCCTGTGAGATTTTGGGACTGTAGCCCCAATGAATAGCACAGTACTTCGCACATAGTAGACACTCAATAAATGCTAGTGGGATGAATGAACGAACGAATGAATGAAGTGCCCTGCAGTCTGTTGTCAAGCTGGGGCCTTTCTCCTAAGCTGGGGTCTCTGTCTGTGTTCCTAGGGCCCTCCACAGGATCTATCTGTTCATCTCTGGTGAGTACAACTCAACCACATTCTTCCTTTTTTTTCCCAACTAGAGGTTTTGGGGTGGGGACCCAGGCTGGGCTTGGAAGGGGCCTCCGGACCAATCAGTTACTTATTCTTTGAACTCTGAGCATTGACTTCTGAATCCAGCCCAGGGCCCCTCCCACAAGAAAAGTGCTTTAAAAGCTCCTCACTTGCTGGCTCTTTCTCCTCGGCTGCTGGGGAGGGGACAGAAAAAGGAAGGTCCCTGACCTTGAGAGATTATGCTCTGTTGGAAGCCAAATGGTCACCATGACAACGATGATGATGGAGGTGGTGGTGGTGGTGGTCGTGGTGATGGTAAAGGCAGTTCTCAATTTTTTTTTTTTTGAGTATCTATTGCATGTTGGGCAGCTAGGGGTGGAGGTTTACAGTGTGGGTTTTCAAGCGTGCTAACCTGGGTTCAAATCCTGACCCTGACATTACCTAGCTGTGTGACTTTGGGCCTGTAACTTAACCTCTCTGTGCCTCAGTTTTCCTCTCTGGAAAAATAGCTTTAATAACCATGTCTACTTCGTAGTGTTGTTAGGAGGCTTAAACGAGCCTGTTAAATGCTTAGTCCTGGTCCTGGCACATAGTAGGGACTTCGTATGGCATCAGCTGTTGTTATTACCACATTGCATCCACTCTAAGATGCACATTTTAACATATGCACATATGCACAGAGATATGCACGTATCTCTGACGTTGGAATGGCTCTTGCAATCAACGGAGTCTCAGTATTCTGCCGAATTTTATAGGTAGTAATGTTTCTGTCACAACGGCATGTAAAAGAATGGTGCCTTTAACAGTGGCTGACACCTCAGATTTGCTGCAATATGGTATTGTTTTTATGGCCATGTGTTGGCTCTTTAATTAGTTCCTTTAATTTTCACAAAATCCTCTGAAATAGTCTTACTGTTTTTTTTTTTTTTTTT